CACTGTTCCTTGCAGCCGAGGGAGAGGTCCTCTCTTGTCGGGCAGTGCTTGATCATTATGGGCTGAGAGGTTAAGTGTAAGGTCATTTGGGATAATACCTAATGGGCTAATTTTGCACCTGCCCATAGTCCTTGGGTTTTTATAAGATGGCTTGGCCCAAGGACCACTTAGTGTAAGTGTTGGGCCCATAGGGTCCATATGATGGGCTTAGGGGTTCACTGGCTTTCTAGTGGATTCGGCTAGGCCCTGTAATAAAGGCTGGGTTGAACCCATGTGGCTGGTGTGTAGATAAATGCTTGGGTCCGACACCATACAAAGAAGCCCAACTGGTCAGCAGATTGGAAACTAATTGAGCATTGATTAGTTAATGGGCCAAAAGCCCATTTTGAACTGGGCTGATATGATCACCCACTTATGGGGCGGATCTGAGAGTAGGGTTAGCTGATAGGATAGGGTTTTAACCCTATCAACTCTTAGAGACCAGATTCAAATATGACTTGAATCTGGTAACCTCCTGATAAGATCGGGAGTAGGCTAATCTAATCTACAGATTGGATTAAGATTATGCACATCCAAATATAGATTTGGATTAGGATAATTCCTAATAGGATTAGGGGATTCTTAATCAACAAGAAAGGAGGAAACCCTATCAAGATCTATTAGAATTCGAACTTAGGGTTTTCAGAGATTATTCTTCTAAAAGACGGAGATAGGATCTCATTCTCTCTAAAGCTGAAAACTGCTTCTACGCCAATTCAGCATTAGGGAATTCTTCCAGCCGCCACCACCTGCTGCTTAGTTCGATCTTCACTGAGAAGGGAATCAAGAAATCAGTTCTTGATATCAGTTTTTGTTGAAGAACTGATCGAGTTCGGTGCTCATTGTTTCCAGAGGATTCTTCTGAAGAATTCGATGTGTAGGATGCACTCTGTTGGTTCCGTTACATAGTTGATGTGTCATCTTCAGCAGGAGTGGATCTTGGTGTCTTCTCTGGGCACGAACACCAACTTTGGGAGATATTATTTCTCTGAATCAGGTATAATCCCTCCCTTGTCTTTTGGTTCGATTATGGTTCAAATAGGACCCTTGAATTTTGATTCTAAAATTAGGGAATATGATTCCCAATTGGAAGAAAGTGAAAAATTTTTGAAATTCGCCCTACCCTATTTCGGAATCTTTGGCATCCATACGATGGATCCCACCATTCTTTCAGCAATGTCCCCTATCATGGAAACATATCAAAATATTATTACCAAATAAAAAATAGAATATAGTGTTTCTTATATTCATCTCTTACATAGAAATGTGTGCATAACTGTTTTATTGGTATTTTTAAATAAAATTTGAAATGCTTCGCATTTTAAAGTTTGAGAACCAAATTATCACCCCAGTCAAAGTACAGGGTACTGCTTTCCCTATAAATTTATTAATTGTTATTGGGCCTACTAATTAATTACCCGATAAAACCGTGAATTGAGCTTTCTAGTTTTCTGTTTTGTGTGAGTCGGACATTCACGTCACGTGTGTCGAAGACGGAGGGCTGAGGACCCCTAAAAAGTTGAAGGAGGAGATTCGAACTCGTCCCTTTCGTAGTCGTAGCCATTAATTTATCAAACCACCAGCAGTTCCCTTGTCATCATCTTTTCCTTCTTTTTTCTTCCACTTTTCCCGTCGGAATTGGTTCTCTCCTCGGTCCTCACTTTCCATTCATTTGTTTAATAAATAAAAAGTAAAAAAGATGGATTCTGAATGTGAATGATTCACAGTCATCTACCTAACGCAAACTTCATTCCTATCATGATCAGCAACTGATCTCCACTGTCCATTTCGAAATCCACGTTGATTGAACTAGTAAAACACTCAGTAGGATAATCACTGCATACATCAGATCACCAAAGTTATTCCTTGGCCTAAATTTTCTTGGTGGTGAGATTATTCTTGTGAAACTGAAACACAAATTCCAGAGAGAAGATGTGGGGACAGGGCCCCGCCCCGCCCCGCCCCACCACCACAACCACGCCAGATGGGCAGATGGAGAAGGAGGCTTCATGAGAAAGGCTAAGTTTGATGGGTTAAAGAGAAAAAACATGGGGGCCAAGTTATTAGCTAGCGTCTTCGGATATCCGGTGAAGAAGATTTGTCAATCAGAGAGAGAGAGAGAGAGTTTGAAAGCGGTGTTGCTGCTACCTCACCTAATTACTTCACCGACAATCATATAGCACAGTCAAATACTAGCAGAAGTTCTTTTTCTTTTTTTAATTTTTTTTTTTTTTTTCTGGTCGAAGGTACTCGGTGGTTGCTCCACTTATTTTGTTAAATAAATAACAATAGTCTGCACTTTTTTTTTCCTCTTTTTATTTTGTATATATATTGCTTTTCGCCCAGTTGTCACTCAAATTTGCTGAGTATTAACTGGGCTTTTTCTTAATTAATTAAGTCATTTGCCCTCTGGGTTCTTCTGCTTCCCCACATATCATTCACCCATTCACCAGCAAATTTCTTGTGTACTATAGATACATAGAGAGCGAGATAGATCTGGTGAATCTGCTGGCAGCGCTCAAATGGCTTCCAAATTGCTGTTGATTATCGTCTTCATCTTTGATCTCATCGCTTTTGCGCTTGCTGTTGCTGCTGAGCAGCGTCGGAGTTCGGTGAGTTCTTCCTTTCTCTAAAGCAGCCCTATTTTCCCTTTCTGGTCTCCTGTTTTATTCTCTTAAAAGATACATTTCTTTTAAGCTAGAAACTCTGTGGTTTATGATTTGCTTCGTTTTTGCCGCATTTTAGAAGAGAAATTGTATCACCTAATGTCCAGTTGGTCAATTTGTTTCTTCTCCGTCGTCTGTTGCTAACCTCGACCCTTGGTGTTCAAGGGAGAACAGAAATGGGATCTCTTTAGCAAAGACATGAATGTCTAAATTGGTGCTTCATCTTAACTTTCTCACTGGACTCCAACATTGATAGATTGAGTATGAATAACATGCACCCTGATTGGGAAAAAAACGGGAAAGACATTGAAGTGCTGTGCTGACTCTGATTTACAGGAAATTACAAATTTTAATGGAAAAATATCTGAATTACAGATGGGGTGCCTGAAACGTCGAAAACGAAATACTTCTAGATCTGGTAAAAGTAAAGGATCTGTTATTTTCCCCCTTTTTGTTCTTTTAGTTTGCAGCAACCAATCTGTTTCCAAAGGAATCTCTGAACAGCAGTGGTTAATTCTGTTTTCGAGATCTGCAATATTGCAATTCCTGATTCAGTGTTGGCCACAGGGCCGAGGAAGAAGCTTTTGTCAAGATCTAACAAGGAAGAAAATCTTTGCTTCTGTGTGTTTGTGTTTTTTTTAATTCTTCTTCTTCTTCTTCTTTAAAGTAATCTACTAATCTATATCAACATTACTAGGCAAGTAGTCCCCCCACTGATCTGACTACTTCTCTTGTATTTCAGGCTCAAATTATCACAGACTCTACTAAGACTTATACATATTGCGTCTATGACTCGGACATTGCAACTGGCTTTGGCGTGGGCTCATTTTTGTTCCTCATGGCTAGTCAAGCCCTTATAATGGTAGCCAGCAGTTGCTTCTGCTGTGGGAAGGCTCTAAATCCTGGAGGTACAAGGGCTTGTGCAGTTCTCCTCTTCATTACCTGCTGGTATGTCCTTGACCATGTCCATGATCACAGACAGCTTTGGGTGTCAGTTTTACAAATCTAACACATGTTATCGTCCATCACTCCACATCTTAAGTCTTGAAAATACAGATAAACTTTGCTTGAGATGCTCAACAGCGTTGTTTTCTTACTCTCTTGCAATGTATTTATTATTTCTCTCAGGTTGACATTCTTGATTGCTGAGATTTGCTTGCTGGCTGGTTCAGTGAGGAATGCCTACCACACCAAATACAGGGGAATTTTTGGGGGCCAAGATCCTTCATGCCAGACTCTCAGGAAGGGAGTGTTTGGGGCAGGAGCAGCTTTCATTGTGTTCACTGGCATATTGTCTGAGCTTTACTATGTTAGTTATTCCAAAGCTAAGGATGGTTTCAATGCTCCTTATCCCAAAGAAACTGGGGTGGGGATGGCACCCTACCGTTGAACCATGCTGTAGCTGATTCCACCACTGCCAGTGCCACAAACTCCTTGTGGGAGATTGAGATTTTTTGGGGTCTCCACTCTCCAGATGGGTTGGTTTCATGTGGTTTGTAGCCCATGTTTGATTCTATGGTTTATTTTTATTTTTATTTTTTTCTGATGTAGTTTAATTTGAGCTTAGTTGGAGAACATGTGATTTTTAACTTTTTAAGGATTTGATATCATATTAATTTTTTATTTTTTTGTAATTCCACCTTTACATTTTTCAATTTCCTCTTAATTGTTTTGCGTTGATGATATAAATATTGTTGACTACAAGTAGGAGAATTATTTCTTTTATTATTATTATTATTTTGTCTCTATGGCTGTTATCTGTAATGTCCGTGGTTAGTAAGTTCTATTGTATGGCTAGCCCTAATCAGTTTTTTCAATGGCCAGCCAACCTCCTTTACCTCTCTCAGATCCCCATTTGAGAGGGGGCCTCTGCGTTTGGGGTGCGTTGAGCTGTGGTGGTTGAACACTGGAGTAGCTTCGTATTTGAGCACTGGTTTGGGTGTTTGGGAAACTCATTGAGTTTTTGGATTTTTACCAAGGACATTTTTGTGTGGGGTCTAGCTCGGAATGTCAGCAGATGAGTCCCAAAAGCCCCTCCCAAATGGGCACTAAAGATTTTGTTTTCTGATAAATGCAGTGTTAAATTAACCACGAATTATTATTAGTTGAAACTGGGGACTGGTCGGATACTCTGGTTTAGGAGTCAATGACGGAAATGCAGTGTTTTTGGATTTTGCTATAAACTAGTTGTTGTAAGAAATGCTGTTAATACCAACCAGAATGAGATACTTGTTCAGAACATTTGTGGTGATCAAGTGTTCAAGACTGCTGTGAAACCTAAGAACGTGTTGGGATGGGATTTGCTGCTTCTCCCACAGTTAGAAGACTTTAGGTTATGTTTGGTTTGAAAGAAAAGGTAGGGAAACCCATATGATGAAGGGAGATTTGGCCTGACCTAGTAAAGAAGGGACACGTGGATACGATCTGACTAAGAGATGATAACTCAGTCTAATACGACCGGTTCGCAGTAGACCGAGCTCGGATATTTAACCACCTGGGGATAAGGTATCTCTAGACACCTCACACGAGATCACCTCGGTACCAGATCACAATAGATCACTTCGATCCCAAAGCACTTCGACATTCAATTTAGTTTGGAATCTAAAAGCATCAGTTTGGGGATACCAACGCCCGAGATCACTCCGCGTAACAGCTAGCATTATCTCCTCCCCACCTGATTCGAGCAGAATTGATAAGCCTTATTTGACAACGTCATCTCTTAATTAACGAAGAAACGGATTTCATCGTGACGAAGATCCCGGAACCGATCCGCGAAACTCGTGAGGATTCAGCTATATAAAGGCTTCAACCCCGGGGGCATGAGGTACGTGTGATTTCCCTACTCTCTAGCTCTCTACATTCTTAAGCTATTTCAGCTCGCAACAAGTATACTAATTTAAGCATCGGAGCGACCTCGCCGGGCTAGTCATCTTGGGTTCTCTGATCGTCCTCTTGACCCACTTGCGAGCTATCTGCTTCACGGGACCCTCCCTGTAGATCGCAATGCGGCCCGGAGGGTAGAGCGCCAGTAAGCTAAGTATGTCATTATAGACAGACAACTGTACCAGAGATCTTTCACGCTCCCCTACTTGCGCTGCTTGCGACCCTCAGAGGCCGAGCTTGTTTTCCACAACACCCACGAGGGCTTGTGTGGCGAACACATGGGAGGTAGAGCTCTCACCCAAAAAGCACTACGACAAGGGTACTACTGGCCCACAATGAAGGCAGACGCACTCGAGTTCGTCAAGAAGTGCGATAAGTGTCAGAGGCATGCCAACATCCACCACTGACTTGCTGTCGACCTCAAATACCTCACTAGCCCGTGGCCCTTCACACAGTGGGGAATCGACATTCTTGGCCCATTCCCGCCAACGACAAGACAGAGGAGATTCCTAGTGGTAGCAGTGGATTACTTCACGAAGTGGGTGGAAGCGGAACCCCTAACGACGATCATAGCCCGCAACATACAAAATTTCTTTTGGAGGAATATAATATGTCGTTCCGGGCTACCTCGGGTACTCATCTCCGACAACAGAAGCAGTTCGAAGACATCAAGTTTCAGAATTGGTGTGCCGAGATGGGGATACAACAGAACTTCACCTCGGTGGCACACCCCCAGGCAAATGGGCAAGCAAAAGTCACCAACAGAGCCATACTCCGTGGATTGAAGGCTCGCTTAGCTCGAGCCAAAGGACTGCGGGTAGACAAACTGCCCAGTGTGCTATGGGCCTACCGGACTACCGTCAAGACCGCCACGGGTGAGACCCCCTTCAACCTCACCTACGACATGGAAGCGGTGATCCCAGCAGAGATCGAGGTGCCAACACTACGTTTGAAAGCCTATAACGAGGAAACAAACGATGACGAGCTTCGTACCGACCTCGACCTAGTGGAGGAAGTACGGGACCTAGCATACATTCGGACTGTAGCCTACTAGCAGAGAGTGGCTCGGTACTATAACACCCGGGTCAAGAAACGACACTTCCGTGTCGACGATCTGCTTCTTCAGAAAGTTATGGTACCTGAGCCCGGTGTCGGTAAAGTCGGACTGAACTGGGAAGGTCCATACCGAGTAAGACGAGTACTCGGGGAAGGTACGTATGAGCTCGAGACCTTGGAAGGGAAACAAGTACCTCGAGCGTGGAACATTGACAACTTGAGACGATACTACCTGTGATCGCCGAATTGGAGAGAGGACTGCGAGTCACTCCTAGAAGCCCAAGTGCCATGGTGCCGAGTTGACATAAGATCTCAGCACTACGATAAGTCTCAGTTGCCTCCTCGGCATGGGTAGATAAGTCCCAGTTGCCTCCTCGGCATGGGTAGACAAGTCCTAGAAGCCCAAGGGCCATGGTGCCGAGCTGGCATAAGATCTCGGCACTATGATAAGTCTTAGTCGCCTCCTTGGCATGGGCAGGTAAGTCCCAGCCGCCTCCTCGGCCTGGGTAGACAAGTCCCAATCGCCTCCTCGGCAAAGGCAGACAAGTCCTAGTCGCCTCCTCAGCATGGGTAGACAAGTCCTAGTCGCCTCCTCGACATGGGCAGACAAGTCCCAGTCGCCTCCTCGGCATGGGCAGACAAGTCCCAGTCGCCTCCTCGGCATGGGCAGACAAGTCCCAGTCGCCCCTTTGGCATGGGCAGACAAGTCCTAATCGCCTCTTCGGCATAGGAAAATCATCCCCCACGCCTAAGGCATAGACAGTTCGGGTATAAACCCTACGACGTCTAAACTAGTTCGGCGTATAATAACAGGTTGAACCCACTAGCTCTAAGAGACAACTGACATCCGAGTAGCCTGTGCACAGACAGGTTGGGTATATACCCTACAATGTCCGCTCACCTCGGCGTACATTATATGAAGTTACCCCTATTAGTAGTCTAGCTCGGTAGCTCGACTGTTCGGGGTAACCATTTGAGAATCTATTTTCGGTTACCCATACTTGTTGTCCAGCTCCGTAGCTCAGCAGTTCGGGGTAACCTATATCTACTCCTATTTGGTTAGTACGCCAGTTAGGGAGTTTGCACTTGGAACATTTTTGAACAAAAAGACTTAAGTCAAAAGTGTAATCCATTAATATAAGAGTTCAGTACAAAAAAAAGAAATAGTTCACTACAGACCAAGCTCGGAGGCCCGGGGTATACATATGAAAGATAAGGGAACCTATTCGTCTGGATGCTCTTCGTCCTTGCCCAAGGCTTCAGTAGAGGGGTCCACACTCTCGTAAGCTCCGGCCTCTTTCATGACACGGAGCAGCTCGCTGTCACTTTCTGCCTCGGAGTCCGGATCTTCGACAGCCTCGACAACCATCTCATTTATGACCCTCGAAGTAGTGATTGCGCTCAAGTCGAGCTGTGGGAATTCGTGCCGGGTCAGCCATTTACTGAGCTTGAAGCCCTTGCGATAACCTTTCGTCCCCGCCTCAATCAGCTCTCCATGGATTTCCTCCGAGGTTTTATATTCCTCGACAACCTTGGTTTTGGCCTACTCCACTGCCTGAAGGAGTATCTCAGTTCGCTCCTTCACGAGGGCCTCGCGGTTCTCTACCTCCTGCTTTAACGCCGCATTCTGCCCTGCGAGGTCCTCCTTCTCGGACATCAACACTGTAATCAATTCTTTCTGAGCCTGCGAATCCTTCTTCAGCTGGTTATTTTCGTTGCGGGCCAGGTTTAGTTCGGAGTAAGCCTTGCGAGACGAGGCCTCAGCGGCAAGAGCCCGCTTTAGGTGCAGTTTGAAATGGTACGTCAGAGCGTGTACAACGGAGTTCACTTGCCGAGAGAAGAACAACATTTAGTACATGAAAAGTTCTCTATAGAATCGAAGGTGTAATGACAGAACTTACTACCATACAATGGGTAGCCGCTCGATCTCCGAGCTGAGCGACTGACAGCTCGGCCCAGTTAGCAACCTCCTCGGCGTAAACCGCGCTCTTGCTCTTGAGAAGGCTGTACTTCGGAGTCAGGATGCTCCGAACTGCCTCCTCGCTGCCCGAAGAAGTGGCAGCCACAAGGGCAGGCTCCGAAGATGCCTCCTCGGGTGCGTGGGGGGGAGACCTTTCCTAGTTCCTCCTCGACCAGATCGATCACTGGAGGTTGTGCAGTGGAGGGCTGCTTAGGCTCAGGGACGGTAGCCTGCGGAGACTCGATGTGAGCTCTTTTGGAAGCTCGCTTCTTCTTCCCCTTCATTCGGCCAAGGAGTTCGTTCGCAGGGAGTTTCATGGTTGCTGTAACAAAAGCAAAACGTCAGAAACAGTATCAAAATAAAACAAAGGCAACACAAAAGTGACGACCTACCAGGACTGAGACCGGCCTACACGAGCTTGTCTTCGGTCACATAGTCCGTGAACTTGAAACCGAGCTCCGCCCAGACTGGAGCGCTTCCCTTGTCTTCATGTCCAGCCTGACATTGGGATCTTGGATGGCCGCCCTCCAGTGGGTCGAGAAAGGCCACCCCTCAGTGTTACGGACCAAAAAGTAGCCCCTTTTCGTAGCCGGGACCTTGTTTGGGAGTTTGTGTAAGAGCTTGTAGCCCGGACGTGGGGACAAGTTGTTAGTTCGTCTGTGCTCGGGTAGAACACAAGAAGAGTTCTTCTTTATTGAAAGGATGGAAGAAAAAATATCAAGATCAAGGGGCAGGTTATAGTCGTGGAAGAGCGAGATGGTTCCTAC